ATCACATGGTTGGAGAATCAGGTTTTTGACCCACTCCAACCGTTGCCCTCCACGGGAATTCTCTCCAGTCTGATGACGGAGAGATGTATTTTTGGGACACCGTCAAGTCTGGTGACGGAAGGCGTGAGTGGTCATTGAATAGTATCAACATCCATTGAACTGTGGACGACCACAGAAGGACAGCTGAAATGATCCCCCCCAGTGGCTTCAGTGCCCCTTCGGTTTGGCTACTCATCGCCAGAAAATACCAGGGGTGTTTACCCCATCGCCACAATGGGACTCAAGGGAGCTATATCCGGGATTAATGATTAAGCCCCACCCCCAACAACGGTCCACAAATAGTAAATCGTCATCAAGAAACAGTCGTACGGGTCCATACTGTTACAACCCGCCGTCCCCGATCGACTGTCACATAGCTGTTACTCGTACCCGTCGTACGTTGCACACGTTCCACGAGTACGTGGATCTCCAGCGCCGCCCAGGAGAAACGCACTCAAATCGTCATGCTGTGCGCCTCTCGGCGTCCAGACGTCTTTTTTCGCACTGGGGGAGCGAAGCAAGGGGATGGGAGACATATCCAACAAAAAGGAGCAGGGAGAGCGACTTGCTCTGGGGTGTTTTTCTTTGTCTTCAGAGATAGATATCATCTGACCACCGAGAAGGAACCCGGATTCGAGGTTTTTCGTCATTACATGTCATTGGCAAGCCGTAATGTGTTCATCACCGTTTGTCCACGTCTGTCCTCATCCAGGCCGCACGCAGATGGGGGCGGCTGGGATTGAGTCGTGATCTGTTTCCGGTTTTGGAGGATGATTTCTTCGTGACATTCCGAGTGATGGTTTCACAGGAGGTGAAGAACTGCTTGGTTTTTCAGAATCCCATTAAAACAATTGTTAGGCACCTTTCGGTTCGATGACCAATCTTAAGGGACCCCAACAAGAAACGCCCATCGTTGACTCGCTTGGAGAGTTCCACCAAGCACAGCAGGCACCAACCACGCCAGCAGCCACCAGCGTCTCAACCACGTGGGGATTTTCAAGTCTCGACCTTCTTGTCCCCCGTTCTGTCTCCAGATCCGCCCCCATCCGATGGATCTTCCACCCAGATGCCGGTTTGTCCAGTGTGGATGTTGTTCACATTTCTGTTTCTTCCCAAATGAATGTAATTTTAATTTAATTCTAATTGTTACTAGTAGTATGGCACTTGTTTCTAATAGCCTCTTCTTACTAGTAAGGCACCTGTTACTACTAGCCAAGGCACTTGTGGCAGAAGGAAGTCAATTTTGGTTGAAAAGACTCTTTTGGTCCTGAGAGTTTTTCGGTCCTTTCGAGTAGACGTTGAGAGCTTTGATTCATGAGTCTTCACTCACGGAGGTGGCTTCTCGGCTCTGGTGGTTCTTTTTTCACAGCTAGTTCCCGAGGCTGGAACTACTGTGGTGGTCTTCTTGGGAGTGCAGCTGGGCATTCTGAACGCCACTCGGACCTGCGAGATCTCGGACCATCGGTTTCGGCCATTGGTCGGATCATCGGACATGGCCAGCGGGTCATAGACAGATCTGGACCAGTATGGGTTTGTAATCTATATGTTTTAATAGGGAAAGCGTCCACCAATGGGTTGTGGTAGTGTTCCAGGGGGTTGAACTCTGGGAGGTGTCTCCCTATTCGAACGTATGGGTGTTGTCACAGACTGACATCCAGATCTTGCAACAAAAAGGATGAAACACCTTGTGTTATTTGCATGTCTGATCAGTGTGAACATGGATGGAGACGGTATGACCGCATCTGCAACATGTGGCTGATGACACTGGGTGTAGTCGATGAAGCGGGGCGAGCGCGAGCGCGGTTCTCCACACGCTGAGGTTTATGCCTGCCTTGGAGCAGCCCTGGTCTTCGGTTCCCTTCGTGCTTTTCAACTCTACCAGGCTCCTGAGACATGATCCGCCACGTATCCTGCCGTTTTACCCCGTGTGGGCAACGGTGAAGCAAACCATTGATTGGAGGGCCACGTTCTTGCCCATAGACCTGGCCCCTGGACCTAGCAAGCTGTAGAGCTTTGGCGAAAGAAGTGTTCCGGAAGTCCATATCCCAAACACTCCATGTCTGTCATATATGCCGACCCATTGACCCCTCTGGCACCACCCCAATTGATCGGTAAATATACCAGTCCCGTCGGTCGTGTTTGGGTGTGAAAAACCTTCCTTGAGATTCGATCCGGCATCCACTAATGAATCCTCCAAGATCCAAAGCCAAGAACATGTCCCCCAACATCGGGATATGCGAAGATCTGTGAATTTCTGATAGTTTTTTTTTTGCAGACGCTTGTAATTGTTTGAAGTTCGGTTTGTAGCAATATAGCATCTCTTCTTGCAATACCCGGAATTTCTTGGATCTCTCCTTCTCCAGGCCGTCATCAGATCAGATTTCTTTGGGTCGTTCCGTCATTTTATGAGTTAAGTTGTGGGAACCGAGATGAGTCGAACGCCACTCTTTAACATCCAGCACAGGACCAGGCCTTCCAGATGCCGCAGAAGGGACAGAAATGCTGCCAAATGCTCAGTCAGGTTTTCTAGGTGTTCCGGGCTGGGTTTGTCAGGTTGGGCTTCCAATCAATCCAGATGACCACCACAAGGGCAGTAGTAGCCTTTGTGTAGGTGTTGGTGAAGCAAATAGCAATAATTGCTTGCGGTCACAGACCATCGAAGGCGAGACAGTCAAACTGATGAAAACCATGTGACAATGTGATAGACATGTGTAAGAATACGTCAGGTTGAAGAGACTATCCAAGATTAATCCTAGGGAGCTGATGCTGAAGGAGAGCGAATGTTTTGTTGGATTCCATCAACGATGTTATCTTTTTTCATAGCCTTTGAACAACCATTGTGTCACATTGTGTAGTTTCACGCGACTTGTAAGTATATTGCAAAGAAGAATTGCCAAACGATGTATTCAGATGTGGTCATGTCATGTCGAGTCTCATATAGGTATACCACATCTGGTCCACATCTTGGTCTCTATGGTATTCATTTGCATCGTTTGCTTTTGTCATGTCTCAAGACTTGGTACCCAATGTGGGGGCACCACCAGAGCTGTCTTCGGATGTCCGACCACCTTTGGCGGGTTTCGTCATGGCACCTCCCCCCACCGAGGCCGCATGGGAGCTCGGTTGCCATCCCGTTTTTTCAACCCTGGGGATCCAGTCGTACCGAACCTCAGGTCCGGTGATGTGTTTGGCATTGTTATTGGCCAGTGCCATTGACTGGATCCCGTTTTTGACATCGGGATCTCTTCGTCTTGAGGAGTTGGCCTGCCATGGTGCCCCGGTTTGGACCCACAGCCATACCGGATCCGTACCGTCGTCTCGGCTTCCCGCGGTGTCTTCGGTCTACGACGGTGGACGTATGTCAGTCTGGTCTCCATGGAAAGAGTTTATTAGCAGGAGTCACAAGACGGGGTGCCTAACTAGGATAGGCGTGTCGTCCAGGACAGCCACGGCCCCTGGAATGGGACGAAGCCAACCACCCAGGCCCTCCATGTGACTCCTGGCCATTTCTGTCATTTTGCTTCGGCCACTGGTTAAATCGCTGGTAGATGTTGTAGAACCCCAAAAGGCCCCAAAACCCTCGAAGGCAGAGGGTTTAGACCCTAAACCCTAGAACCAGGCGTCGACCGAACTTCGGCACACAGCACTCCCTCGGGAGATGCTGAGCAGCTGGCGTTTTTCGAACACGAGCGGCCTCACTGGGGGGACAAACCGTTCGGCCCCTTTCAGAAACAAGTCCAATACTACTGTCAGCTTTGTGCAAGACTACAATAAAGTCTCAACTACAACCACATCAGATGTTATTTGTAGAAAGCGAGAGGTGCTAGGTTCAAGAGCCCTGTGTGTTTGTCTGTGTTTTCTATGCGCCGGATGAGGTCTATGAGCTGGATGAAGCCCACAGCGGCACACGTTCTGCCGAACTGGATGGCGAAGATGCGCGATTTGAAGACTCCGGTGGCCAAAAGATGAGCGTGGCCACATCAGACTGCCTGGTGAGAATTCCATCCATCCCACCTGGGAAACCAAACAACCAGAAACAAATGGATGTTTCCCCAAACAGCCATTTCCTATGTAAAGGATTTCAATTGCCATATTGGAACAACCGTTTGTTTCTGGTTGTTTGGGTTTCCAGGGCAGAAATCTATAGACAGCTTCAGGTCTGATGGTGCCTTCGGGGCGTGTTTGAGGTGATTCTGCGAAGATTTTGTCGGGTTTCCAGACGGGGAGTCCTTCACGGAATGAGGAGCCCATCAGGAGAAGCTCAGAAAGTGACGATGTGACGGCGTAATGCAGTGAAGCTGTGGTTCGATGTATATAGGTTCCTTTCACCCAAGAGCTTTCGATGGATTTGCCCCATCGTTGAGCCACACAAAACAGCAGCTTTGTTGGGGGTGTCCCGGTAAATTTTATTCTCATTGTTTCAGACGAAGGCCTTGACTAATCATCACCATCATCCACTGGGCCCTGGTCAGGGGCGGCTACACCCAACAGCTCACAGCTCTTCGATAGAACGAACGTCGGCGTGAATCCACAGACCTGGGAACACCGGATGCCGCCGACCTGGGAAGATCAGCTGATAGGAAGATGTGTCTCTAAGTTGCTGTGAATAGCACCATGATCTAGATTGGAGCAAGAAGTAGCTTGACCTAGCCCTGCTAGCTGTTGAAGGTCCAGAAATCACTGGGTGTTCACCTCCAAACCCCACCTGGGTAGCATCTTGGGAGCCCCTTTTTTTCAGGGTGCTTCCCGGTGAATCCCCTGGGCGAGAACCACACCACGCCGAGACCACGCCGAACAAAACGCGGTTGGGATTGCCGACCAATTCGTGAAAAGTTGGTCATGGGCATTGCTCCTCTGGCGCCTTTGGATGAAACCCGGAGCCCTCAAAGTGTAGGTTGACCTCCCGTCCCGTTGGGAGCTTCTGTTCATTTTCGGTCAAGGGTGCCATGACCCACCGCCAGGGGAGGTGCCTCCGGTGCCCTTGCTGCAGAAGCTCCGCGAGGCGGGCCCTTTCCGGGCGCTCGCGACCGTTTCGTCTACCCGACCCGCTTCACCGGGCGCAGAACGCGCAGAAGACGGGGCCGAGAGGGCGAGGCGAGGCGGATCGGCCCATAGGTGCCTCTCCAATCAGCGGTTTTCGAGTGGCGAACCAGTGGGTGAGTTTCGGGTGGCGCTTCTGAAACAAGGTGGACTACACTAGCTGTTGTTGCGGTTGGTCGGGGTCCGGAAAACAGCGCGGTTGGTTGGTGCTGCTGGGGATGCTAGCTATGTCTGTGGCATTAAGCATGATTTAGCATTGCAAATGAGTTTTGATTACTAAACATACTCAAGCCATGTCAACCCAAGTGTTGATTGGTGAGTAGCTAAACGGGAAAAATGTTTGAAGTTTTCTATTTTCGACCCCTGCTTGGCAAGGCCCTTGCACACTGGTGTTGATGGGGGCACAGTGGTAGGATGGACCACAGGGGGTCAACGCCTGGCGGCATGCGTCCAGGTGAGTGTGTCACAGTGGGAAATGATTTCTTTAAAGCAGTGGCATTTGTTCATGAGCGAGTGCCATCTAGCTTGGAGATTGATTGGTTGGATCCAATTAGGGCTTGGTTCATTGAGGTTCACCTCCACCCTTCTCTTGACCATGAAATACAATGAACATGTTTGTTCAAAGAATCCCCCTTGGTCACGCCACCAGCCTTCAATGCACCTCTCCACTCCAAAAAAGCACACGGCATATGAAACGAAGGGAAGCCCCTGCCCCCAAAAAGATCAGAGAAACCAGACTTCCTTGAGATCCACCGTCCGCACCGCGCCGCACCGCGCCGCCGTGTCCGGAAGCGTCGTGAGACGGTGTTCCGGTTCGGACCTCGTCGACGTTCGCAGGGACCGGTGCCCAACATCTTAGCCACCTGCAGGTGCCCGACATCGGCGGGTTGGATGGGGAACACACTCTTGGTCCGGGTGATGGGTCCGGACGGTGGAGGAGTCGTCCGTTGTGACGGCGATTGGTTCTTCCGGAGGCATGAAGGCCATCGGTTTGATTTGGAGTCGGAAGGAAGCTTGGGTCTTTTTTGGGAGGATGAATCCTCCAGAAGACCAGCTTCAAAGCACTGGCTTGACTGGATGAAGATAGTTTCATGGATATTTACGGTATTGCTTTCTCTGGGATATTCGTCGGTGGATGAGTAGGGTCGTGTTCCTTGGGCAGAAATGGACCAACCAGTGAATGGAAATGGCTGAGCTTGAGGCGGCTCCAAGAGCGACCTGGATTTGCTCCAGTGAGATTGGATGGCGTTGCGAGGCTTCTTCAGGCAGCGATCAACAAGAAGACCAAGTTGATCGCTGAGTATACATTGCACCTTCTCGGAGGAAGACAACGCATTGAACGTGAACCATATAAAGTTAAAGGTTGCTCTGGGAGACACTGTGACTTCTCCCGTCCGTTTCCTCTTGCAGTCGGTTGAAGCCAATCAACAGCTTGACACTAGGGACATTTGGTCCACAGGGACATCATGTGCTTCACACCAAACTGCTTGAGGACATACATCTACATCACATCGACACAGGTGGCCGTTCGCGTCGCGAACCCGACGCAGATGGGAGGGATCGATCGGGTGAAGATCATCGATGAAGACGGGACGTTCCTCAGCCCAGCCCAGCAGACAAGGAGACTGTGCCTCACCCAGCGATCCGAGTGGACCGTTCGAAGCCCTGAAAGGTGGAGAGTCAAGCGATGCCAGGAGGACAATGATTGAAGAGGCATTGTGCAGCATTTGAGAGGGTGGCAGAAGGCCGTTGAAGTGATCCTCGTGGTGTTCAACAGACCTCAGGTTTAAACTGGATCCAGACTGTTTTGGGGTCCTGGTCCTGAATGTCTGAAGGGCAATTGATGATATTTCCTGATTCTCTCAAACGCGTCTTCATTGCTCAAGACCTTCACAAGGCCCAAGAACTGCTTGTGCTGAGTCCATCGCCAGACAAACGCATTCTTCACTGTTTTGACAGTCTCAGCGTAATGGAAGCAGTGCAGTGCTAGTTTCAGTCCCCCAAGAGCGTCCCCCCCTCTTTGAAGTTCTGCAAATGACTTGCTGTTGGAGTCCGGATCCATCTCAGAAGGATGAGCGTAGGCAATAAACACGCGCATTGAAACTCAAGCCAGCCTGCTCGTTCTCGTTGAAGGTACATCAAAGCAATCTGCTTTGCTGCCAGCTTCTTTATCTCTGCCAGCTTGCAGGTGACAACCTGTGACAGAGAGCTGGTCATTTGCCACCATGGTGGCTCAAGTCCACCATGGTGTGGGAGCGCCTCTTTGAAGCACCATCACCTTCGTGCCAAAGGACCAATCTGCTCTTTTGCACCTGAGTCAGCAAGATGGTGGCCAAGAATAATGAAGACAGAATGAAAGGCACCAACGGCCTGTGGAGGGGACATCACCTATTAAAAGTTGGACTCCATGAAAAGCAACAATTTATTTAACCCAAAGCAAACAAGTTAAATTCATTCTATCTGGATCGAATTTCAAGGTATTTGGGTTGCAAGAATGGTCTTGGATGGCTTCCCAGCCTGTTGGATTATCATTTTTCTGGCTTCCCAGCCTTATGTGTTTTGTATTTTTTCTGGCTTCCCAGCCTTATGTGTTTTCTTTTACTGGCTTCCCAGCCTTATGTTTTTTTGTTTTACTGTCTTCCAAGCCTAATGCTTTTTGTTTTACTGGCTTCCCTGCCATATGTTTTTTTGTTGTACTGGCCTCCCTTAAGTTTTTTTTTTTTACTGGCTTCCCTTATGCCTTCTTGTTGAAGCCATCAAATGCCTTTTTTGTTCTACTGGCCTCCCAGCCTTACGTTTTTTTGCTTTACTGGCTTCCCAGCCGTATGTTTTTTTGTTTTGCTGGCTTCCCAGCCTTATGTGTTGTTTTTTTCTGGCTTCCCAGCCTTAAGTTTTTTCTTTTACTGGCTTCCCAGCCTTATGTTTTTGGTTTTACTGTCTTCCAAGCCTTATGTTTTGTTGTTTTACTGGCTTCCCAGCCATATGGATTTTTTGTTTTACTGGCTTCCCACCCTCATTTTGTTTGTTGTACTGGCCTCCCTTAAGTTTTTTGTTTTACTGGCTTCCCTTTTGGCTTTTTTGTTGAAGCCATCAAATGCTTTTTTTGTTCTACTGGCTTCCCAACCTTACGTTTTTTGGCTTTACTGGCTTCCCAGCCTTATGTTTTTTGTTTTACTGGCTTCCCAGCCTTTTATTTTTTGGCTGGCTCCCCAGCCGAATGTTTCTTGTTTTACTGGCTTCCCAGTCCTTATGTGTTTTTTTTCTGGCTTCCCAGCCTTATGTCTTTTCTTTTACTGGCTTCCCTTATGTTTTCTTGTTTTACTGGCTTCCCAGCCTTATGTTTTGTTGTTTTACTGGCTTCCCAGCCTTATGTTTTTTGGTTTTACTGGCTTCGCAGCCTTATGTTTTCCCCACCTGTCAGGTTAGGGTTGTTAGATTTTACGTCAGTCAGCCCCATCTCCTCCTCCTTCTTCTCCTCCTCCTTCACCTCCGCTGGACCTCAACCACGATCATCCACGCCCAGTGTTCCCTGCCGGACCTCAACCACACAACCACAAACACACCACAAACACACAACCACAAACACGCAACCACAAACACGCAACCACAAAAACGCAACCACAAGCACACAACCACAAACACAAGCACACAACCACAAACACAAGCACACAACCACAAACACACAACCACAAACACACAACCACAAACACAC